TCGTAAAGAGTTATTTTATTCAAGCAAGACTCACACTGCTTGAAGGGGCCTGAAGAGTAGAGGGCCTGGCTAGGAAAAAAAGGTGGGAAAAAGAGATTTGTCTCTTCTATCCTTATTTTCTCCCTCTCTTCTCTCTCTCTCTCTTTTTAAACTTGCGGAAACAAAGAATAGAATCAGAGGAAGGTCTTGAAGAGATGGTACTGTCTTTATTTTCTTTTTCTTACAGAATGAACGGAGCTCCATAATTGAAGTGCTACTGCAATGCTGGCAAAAAAGGAACGGAGGCACTCTGTGTAATGGGCAGGGGGTCTGCACGATAGAAGGGAGGTCCTAGGGAACACGTGCAAAAGGTCTAGAAGTTTCCAAGAATCTCTGAGCAGGCGCGCTAAAACCCAATTGTGTAAATTCACAAATGGCCAGTCAAAGAACCAGAGATACGGGCAAGTAATCTCTTTTTTCATATCTTTAAAAAACGAATTACAAAAATTCACAACTTTCCTCGTATTTGCGATAGAAGGAACTGGCAGTTAAAAAAAATAGAATGTGAGAGATCCTGACTGCAGGATTCTGGAAGTCATAGTCCCAAAACCTGTTTCCACACACTAACTGAAATCTTGTTGGCGTTGGCATGCCTATACCTATGGAAGGGGGATGACATCACCATCTGGGCAGCATTTTCATTAATTAAAGACTTCGTCCTTCTGTCTTATAGCTCCTATGGCTTCCACACAATGAAAGGGATTACATCGGAGCCGGAAAAGCCATAGGACAGAATAGGAAGTTTTTGATAACTGGAAACCACCCCCTGCTGGTGACATTGTCCCCCTTCCGCAGCATTAAGTTACATAATGAGATTTCAGCTTCTGCCTATTTTCCTACAGATCTCTTCTGTAGGAAAAGTGAGACACAGTAGGAAATCTGCCCGGGACTGTTTTGGGATTCCTCCTGCATTAGCCTTGGGTGTTGAAACAGTCAATGGTACAGGACATGAAATAAACTGAACAAATGCTAGGAGACATTGGGTTGGGTTACTTTATGTGAATTCTCTCCGCCGTATAAAGTGCAAGTCGGCAAAGGCAGGTGGCAGCTGATTTGGCCCTCCACATTTTGCTAGATTTTACACTTTTGACACTTCCTTTGCATCCCAGAGGGCAGGTGGTTGGAGCCAATGCTGCTCCAGGAGGGGTCAGGGAAAACATAAATCATGGTTAAAAGCAAGCTCCCTCTCCAACTATCCATATATACCCCCCCCCCCGCTTCTCTATCAATTCTTCTGCAGGGGCCAGGCTCTGTATTAATTCGTTACACATATGTTGTCTCACCTTCTACAAATGTGGGGGATATGATGACTCAGTGTTTCAACTCAGAAACAGATTCAGCATAGCAGAGGTACTGTCTTGGAGAGGCTGTTGCGAGGAGGAGGCATTTCCACCCAACTTTTCCTATACTTCAGAGAGTTATTTTAAGAAACAGAAATCATGAGCCACGGCTAGACACACAAACTTACCTCCAGCATCCCTAGGTATATTTGGGAAAGACTCGTCCTCTGAATCTGTGCAGAACTTCTGCTAGTTAGTGCATTGATCGGGGTTGGATTGGACCTGCATAGCTGCCCAGCATGGTTCCCAGGCCCCACCCTCACCTCAGAGGCCCCAGTGCAAAAAAATAGTGACCTGAAATAGCTTAATTGCACCCCCTAGAAGCCTCCAGCCAAGGCAGAGATCAATTGTTCCTTCACTGCACCATTTATATAGCTGAAATATCTTTATCTTCAAAATCATAAAGTGATCTCCCAAGGGTCTTCTGTTTTTGAAAACAAGGGCAGCTGTGGTCCAGAGAAGTCCAGCTGATGTTGGACAATGGGGCAGATGTGGCCCTTTGTGGCGGCCCATCCTTGCTCCAGACAACACAGAGTTGAGCAGCATCTTATAAAGGCATCCTCTGATGTCCTTCTGGGTAACTGATCTAGATAATTCTGTTCTTAGGAAGTGCTGTCTACATGATCAGGAAAATAAAGGCTCTTAAGATCCCTCCACTCTAATGTGTCTCTGTCCAGTAGAGGCATGCGCAGGGCAATTTACGTTAAAACCAGAAAAATAAAATTAGAATGCAACAATTCCAAAGAAAAACAGTAAATGCAAGACAAAGTTTGGGAGCTGTACTGGGCAATGTAGCCCCAGTCACGGAACATTTTCTTAGGGCAGTTACTGGCAGAGTCTCTTATAGTCATCTAAACCTTTAACTGATGGGCATCGACCACTTCAACCAGTGTGCTCAGAGCAGAGTGGTTCCCCCAATCCCCAAACTTATTTTCAGGGAATTCTGGAACACCATACCTCTAAGATCACAGATGGGGTACCTCTTTTGGTCCTAAGATAAATACAACTAGATAAAAGTTATTGGGAGCTGCATTGTATCATAAGTAGGCTCAAAGGCAAAAGGGTGGCACTGCAAACAGAATATTTTAGTTTAAAGCTCTTGCTACCAGTAACTAAGAACTGTTCTAGATTGTGGGGTTTAGTTCTTACTCCTTTTCCCAGTTTCTTTCTGTTTGTTGTGAAAGAGCCCAGAATTACCAGGCTTAGCGTCCAGACTCTCTCTAACAGGAAAAAACAGGAAGGCAATATAGAAAATACTGGAATGCAATAGACCAGCAAGAATGAACTGTGGATATTCTGGGGAAAAAAATCAAGGCCGTTTGGAACATCTCTGCAAATGAGCACCAAGGCACTGACCACTCAATGGCATAAGTTCAATGGATAAATATCAGAGATATTTTATTTCCTCCCAGTTGAAAGTGAAGCTTGGAAAAGCTATTTTTGGCACACACAGCTTGTATAATACCACACCCCACATAGCCATTGTAAGGTTTCCAAGCTCTGGCTTGGAAAGATTGGAGGTGCACCTATCTTTCATTTACTTTCCTGCTACCAGTTTACCCCAGCTTCTCCCTGAGGAGGCTATCAGAGCAGGAATGAAAGGCTTTGTGGTTTCAGGACTGGAGAGGTACACCATTTTGTCTTGTGTCTTTACTTCAACTGAGGGCAGCACAATGTTTTGCTGGTGGCTGAAAGGCCGGTCTCTTTTCCTCTCCCCTTCTTGCTAAAGCCTTTGGCTCTCTCATGATATCCTTTCCATGACGTCAGCCTTTCTGGCGTTACCTCTTCTCTTTTGAGGATACACAATTCTTGGCTTCCCGTGGCGTATATCTGTTTCATCTCCTTTTTTGCTGCTGCACCAAATTAAACCCAGGAGGGACCAAGTGTGGCCGGAAACCATCCCCGCTCTTTTGACAGAGTCGAACGATACCTCAACAAGGAGAATGGCAATTTTCCAGCTATTGGATATTCAGTTCCTAACCAGGAATTAACTAACCCCATGCAAGGCTCTCTGTTCAGCTTTCACCTACCAATCTCAGTCTTCTGTTCTCCTTTTTTATCTGCTAGACTGGGTTGGTCTAAAGACATAGACCGGAGCTCAACAGGTAGAGAGGACTGGCAAGTGCTTGTATAAGAGTGCCGCTCCACTACATATTTATAATAATTATGGATACCACTTCAATGGCTACGGCTCCATTCTATGAAATCCTGTTGTAATTTGGTGAGGTACTTAAAACTCTCTGCTAATGCTCTCTTCTAAACAACGACAGAGAGTTCTTAAGCACCTCAGCTAGCGGCAAAAGCTAGGATTCTTAATGATACAGCCATGACAGATAAAGTGGTATCAAGCTGCTGTAACGGTGTAGACGGACTGTAAACGTCCATTTGGGAATCTCACATATGCTGTCCTGAAACCCAAGATTAAAGAACTAGGTGATCTAGCAACCGCTGATAAATGTTATAGATGAAAACAAAATAAAAATAAAAGAGTTAAAAAAAGAGAAAAAAGTGGTGGCACTTTAAAGACTTTTATATTCTTTAATGGGAGCTTTCCTGGACAAGTCCACTTCATCAGACAGTTAATATTTAAAGTGCCACTGCATTTTTGTCTTTTTATACTCTTTATTTTTGTTTTCACCTATAATGTGTGCACAGACTAAGACAGTTATCTCTTCTACAACTGCTGATAAATGGAAGCAATAACAAAACGGCCATAGTACAAACTGTTCTATGCAGAGTTTGGAAAAGTTACTTCTTTGAATGACCATTGCTAGAATCCTCTGGCCACTATTCTCCAAGCATTGGTTTTATGTGCCTACCTTAGTTCCTATTAAGAAGACATAAATCTTAGAAACAGTCATTTTCAGGTTTCATTTACAGGATTTCTTTGCCCAATTCTATTTAGAACCACTGTCTATAGTCTGTCACAAATATCTCCCTTCAAGAGGAATAGTGATTAGATAATTAAGAAGTTCATTAGAGTCTCTTCTCTGACAATGTGATCTTCCCATATAATGGATTGTAAAATGTCCCCAGCCATTTTCCTGCAGAGTTCCCCAAACTGCAGCATGCTTTGGAATAATCTATAGTTATCTGTACTGTATTTCCTGAAGCACACAAATATTTCTCAATCATTCATTGAACATGCTGTGTTTCTGGATTACAACTCCCAGAATGCTTGAATCAGGATGGTCACTGGCTGGGGGATTCTGTGTTTAGTAGTTATATAGTATATAGTGTGTGTGTGTGTTTGTGTGTTTGTGTGTATGTGTGTGTGTGTGTGTGTGTGTGTATCTATATATCTCTGTCTCTATCTCGATAGATAGATAGATAGATAGATAGATAGATAGATAGATAGATAGATAGATAGATAGATAGATAGATAGATAGATAGATAGATAGATAGATAGATAGATAGATAGATAGATAGATAGAGAGTATATGTGTGTGTGTGTATATGTATATGTATATATATATATACACATACACATACACACACACACACATTTTTGGCCCCAAAAATGGAAGGAAAGATATAGTTACAAGTAGATTCTGCCAAACTGTGTGAAATTATTTATTAGAGAATATAAACTGGATTAAAATAGTTGTGTGTTATAAAAACAAAGAAAATAAGCTCTATCTGGGAAAACTACTGAGAAGCATGTTATATGGACTTTGATACACAGATATACAATCTAGCATGTGGAAAAAGAGGGCAAAACCTGCAGACATATTTTGTTTGTTACAATTTTCAACATTTTATCATTACTTAAAATATCAGATAAATAAAAGATTTCACCTGCATAAAAAAAATCTTAAGAGGCTGACTACATGGACATTTAGCTCGCTGTTTGACTTGCTGCAAGAATGGGTGGTTTGCTCTTAAATTGTTAATAATGCATTATTCCTCGGCTGTCTCCATGTTACTGCTCACATTTCATCTTTAGAGGACCACAGAAAAAACTCCTTCTCTGATGTTTTGCTCTTGCCTTGTGTTCTGTTTTCTTTCTCTTGTGGGGATGTTTACAAACCAGACTTCAAAAGAATTGAACACCAAATACAGGTCATAAATTACTGCACGTGTGACATGCAACCATACACCACGGACTAACATGCAATCCTTATATTTTACTGTATTTCACTTGATATCTCTGAAGACGTGGACCTGTCCATGAAAGCTTACATTAAAATATAACAGTCTTTAAGGTGCCATAGGTTTTGGTCTTTTTAATATTTCCCTTTGTGCTTTGCCTGAAAAGCTTGCACAAACACAATTACCTCTTGTAAATTTGCTCTTAAAGACGGCAATCTGACACTGTCTTTGCTGGAGTGAATCAGCCTGGCCCAAGTCCTATCCGTGCCTTTCTGAGCTCCTGTCAGAGGCTTCTACTTTTTTGGTGCAAGTAGGATTGCTCTGGTTGGAACGGTTCCAACACATGTGATCGCTGGAACCAATCCAAAGCAGCTTTCCAGTTTGAATGTTTAATGTTTAACACTACTCTGTCCCCCTAATATGTCTGCTACAAAAATACATCTGCTTGCCACCATGGCACACAGCTTTCATTGATGTGTGGCTGACAGCCTTTCAGAATCATAAATGTGCTCTCCTGCTTTGTGGTTTCCCCCAAATCTGTAGAGTCAAAGGTTTAAAGACAAAATACAGAACCACGAGAACAGATGCCCAAACACACACTTCTGAAATTACACTCTGCTGTAATTGTGATCCAACTGTGTGAATAAGGAACTCTATTCCAGATGTCAATACACACACACACAATGTCCAACTTTTTCAATACATGTGTCCCCAAAGAATCATAGAATAATTGAAGTGATATGTATAGCATAGTTTTGACTGCCTAGCTTCCTTGAGGCTAAGCTACACCACTGGCACCTTCCCAAGTACAATCTAAATGTTCATAAATTTTCCTGATTGTCTTGATGTACACAGAAAAAATGGTACCCTGCAACAGAAACACTGCAGCACAGAATTCTGCAATTCAGGATTCTAGAATACTTATGCAAGTAGAGCTACTTACACAACATCTGAACATTAGAAAGACAATGCCTTATATTAGATAATTGTATTATTGCAAACACTTCCCTGTGTTTTTGTTGTTTCTTGTTTCCTTTCCCCCTGTATATTTGTACTCCCTTGATTGTTGTCCTTTTGTTTCTTTATGTATGTATATATGTGTGTGTGTGTGTGTGTCCCACTTTTTCAATACAAGATGAAACATATATATATTTATTTATTTTGGCCCCCAAAAATAAAGAAATACGATGCCTGGTAATAACTACTTTTGTGTGGAAGTCTCCTTTCAACTTCCTTTTAGTATGGGGGATCCACTCATTTCATGAACAATGGGATGGATCTACATTTAGTAATTTTTGGCATAGGCCCTTTTATGTCAATGGAACTTAACTTATGATTAATCTGAGGGAGCAATGAGACGAGTATCTGTCCCACTGTTCATTCCATGTATCCCATTGTTCCTTTCAATATTTATTATGTCAACTACACATCAGCACTAATCCTGAGTAGATCAACTCTTGGCAATATATTTTGTTTGACCCGCAGGGCATATGTGTATGTGTTTGGTAATGTTTACATTCACAATATTTCGTCTTGCTTTTGGCTTGTGTGATCAGAACTCTACGGCTGTGTGTTGTGTGTGTTCAGGTGACATCTCTGATGATGCACAGTGCTGGGTATGGTGTGGGAGTCTGCATTTCATCTGCCTTCTGTTCACACTGCTAAGGACTACAACTACAGTGCAATGTGTAAACTGTATTTTTGAATTGATATGGTACAGTACTAAAATGAAACAGTGCATGTAAATGTTTACTGTGCCCTGTCAGTTCAGCACTATTTCACTTGCTAAACACTAAAAAAAGAAGAAAGCATTTGAATGCTAGTGAGAGGGGTGCTGACAATGACAGAAAAGAGTGAGGGGAGAAGGGTAGCTGTGTAATGTGTTGACTCTTGAAATGCACCTTTCTGGAATCATTAAACATTTCTCTGTGAACCATGGTAGAGATTTAAATGGCAAGATATGGTATAGACAAGTTTGCATCAAAGACACACTTTGATATGACCATGCCCTTCTGACTGTATCTCAACAGGTCTATTCTAGGTAGGACTACATCAACCGAATAGCTTAAATCCTGTTGCTTAACATAATAATTCACCCCTTCTGTCTGTATCTCAGCAGGTCTATTCTAGGTAGGACTACATCTGGATTCAACCGAATAGCTCAAATCCTGTTGCTTAACATAATAATTCACAAATAAGAGTAGGCCTATTTGAATCAATGAAACTATAAAGGAATTTAGCAATCATCAGATGGCATGCTGGACGCATTTTACATGAAAAGCTGTTTTGTGTAATTCCAGATAATTCACACACAGGGAAGGTGGCCCACTGTATCTCTAGATGAGCTACTGCTCTAAGCTTGCTTGGTGGGTGTGGTAACCCTCCCATGTCCTCGTTGTAACTTCTGCTCACTCAGCAATCACTCTAGATGCAAGGACTTGGAGGCATAAGTCTAACCTACCTGTCAATCCCTGCAAGAGTTATTTCTTCATTTCAAGCAGGAAGTGTCTCAACAGAAACAGCAGGGAAGGGACTGTGCTGTTGTTTATGTTTTTAAAGTACTGTACATTCCAAGGATCATAATAAAAGTGGCACCAGAGTAGGAAGATAATGTTCTTCTCTCCTAATTTACTCCCACTATGCGATACTCAGAGATACTACCTCTCAACATATATGTTAATGAATATATTGGCAGAGATAGTCCTGAAGCTGTAGCCTAAAAAGTTAACTTTCTCCATCTCTGTACTCATCTAGCTGTTGTATTTCATGGTGCTCTCTTTCCACTTCTGTGTCGAAGTGGCACCATCTTTTCATACATACCAACCTCACAACACATTAAGTTGGTTTTGCACATTACAGATATATTTCAAACATGCTAACCGTGCAGCTATAATTCAAACTAGCACCCAAATAACCTACTGCTTCTTGTTATTCAGAGACATTTGCACCTAGACTGCTAACGCTTTCATTTCTCGTGCAAGTGAATATTTTATGCCTTTTGTAATATGGGATCATTTGGGGGTGGGGTGGGGGTGGAAAGTCCTTTGGCTAGAAGAAACCCAGGAAGCACCAGTGATGTTTGCGAATCAGCTTGTCTCGATAGTAATTCATTACCTACCTTTCTGTTAGGGTTACAGTTGTACAATACCTTGGCATTTAATTCTCTACCATGGTTCACACAGAAATACTTAATGATCCCAGGTAGATGCATTTCAAGAGTGAACACATCACATACTTAAGTTTGCAGAGGAAAGGTGAAGGCAAACTGGAGAAGTCAGTGGACTTCGTCCTTGCATATTTCCAGGATGGGGGTGGATAGACATAATGAAGTTTATTGGTGCAAAAGTGGGAAATGTGGTGATGGTAGTTGAAGGGCTTTGTCCTGACGATCACCTGAATGCCAGAAAAATAAAATTCCCTGTTCTAAAAGTATTAAAAATGATCTAATAATGTACTCTTACCTTTTTGTTGTTTTCTCCTAGGACTGATATCTCCCCTAGGATGTTGGCGGTTGTCTTTATGTAATCCTGTGATAAGCAGCACATTTATAATAGGTTTTTAAAATAACAGAATTTTTAAAACCTGCCCTAAAACATATCCTAGTCTTTAAAGCTTTGCATGGTGCTATTTTCACTGTATTGTGATCCACAGATTTCTGCACTGTTTTTATTACCAAGTTATTTTCAGGGTTAGATTTCCATTATAATACATGTTTGATAATTGCTGTAGAGGAAATAATTAGTTCGGTTCAAATGGTTTTCTATTCCCAGACTCTCCAGTTAGGTTTTGGGTTTCGTTTCTGTTTAACCTCTGTTGCTCTTAAACCTTTGTTTGGAGCGGCAGTCTCTGCTATTATTTCATGCATACTGCATCCCTGGTCAATTTAAGGGTATTTTCTAGTAAAGACTATTCACGTGTGAATAAAGCAGAAAAAGGGCCCATGTTTATTGTCCAAGAGTTTGGCAGTCTGCCCTACATTTCCATGATTATATTACAGTATATTAGTTTTGTTCTTACTATTAATGCTAGGTGAGGCAGATCTGCCAAAGCTATGCCTGTGTATTATTTCTCCTTTCTCATCCCATCTTCACACTGTGCTGGTTCTGTTTACTGAATTTTTAATTAAAAAAATCTGCATAGCTTTTTGTATGTTTTTCTAAATGGACACATTAACAGGTTCATGCTTTATTTACTAAAGCATGTCTGTTTGTTTGTCGGAAATACACACATTTTTTTCGCGTATTTTGCAAATCTGTACATGTTATCAAATGCATTTTTCTTATTTTTTGCAGGATGTGCTTTAAATCCAAACACATATAGATTTTTCACATACAAACTGTGTCTAGTTCTGTGTTGCTAGACGTTTACACTGGTTGCTGCTTCCCCCAAACTGGCTGAATGAATTTCTCACATATCTGCCATTGGTAATGGCAAAATCCAATTGACAAAAAGTCATGTCCATAACGCTGTTGTGCAGTGATTTCTTCCTTCCCGTCAGCCCCCCTTTGCATATGCAGGCACACCATCAGTCACACATCCAATTCTGCCAACATTGGCAATATCAGGCACATGGCAAAGGGCCTGCTGAATAACGTGTACAATTATATGAATAAACAGGATTCTGGACTAGGACTGCTCACAGCACAACTGATAATACTGGTACTAGCAGCAGATGTATTTGGGAACCTAATGATTTCCAAATGGGTATCTGTACATTGCAGCAAAATCAGGAAGGGATCCTGTGGATTTTTAGATCTTGGTTTAAAAAAATATTAAGATACTTGACATATCTGAGGAAATTGTGTGTAGTCAAGGCAAACTAATGCCAAAATTAATGTAGTCATCTTTGAAGGTGTTCTAACATACTAATATTCTGAATTTTTATTAGCCAAAAATTGTTTGCATTATTAATAATGTGGGCAAAAATTATAAAAGAAACCACAGCATCAACATATATTTGCTTTTTTTCCCTTCCTATGGTATCAGGTATAACACTCCATCTCCCCTATGCCACCTGAAATGAGTCAGGATCCAGCCAAAATTTATTTGCTTGCTTGCTTGACTTATATCTGTCTTTCTTGCAGAGCTGGAATCTGAAGTGCTTATGCTTAAAAATGAATGCTTAGCAGCACTTTGTACTGCTGATAAAAACTTGCTTAAATAACACATAGAGTTGCAGGCTCAGTTTGTCATGAAAATGCTTAATTTTGACCCCTTTTATGAGTTTACATTAGTGGTTTATTTTTGATTAGCTCAAAACCAGATGAAGTGGACTTGTCCACAAACACTTACATTAAAATACTGTATAGCAGTTAGTTTTCAAGGTGCTACAAGATTTTTGTCTTCTTTATTTTTATTTTGGTTTTGCCTGATATTGTATACAGTATTTGGATTCCTTTTTTCCACAATTCCAAGTTCTACTAGAATGAATTATTTAAAGTAGAGTGTAAAATAAGGATCAAAAATATGATGGGAACGGATAGATATGAGTTATCTATTTTATTTCTGTTTGAACTGTATATGGTGGGTTTTTTTCTTACTTAATTGAAATTTATAAACTATTAAGAATTTAAATCCATATTTGCAGTTGCTGTTGATATAGTCAAAATTATAGACTAGTTTTTTTTAAAGTATATATTTTTTAAAAGGGCTGAATCCAAATTTAGCCACAACTGTAGTAGTTTCTTTTAACAAATTCAGTTTATTTCAATAGGTCTGTTCTAAGCATTACTAAGCCTGGAAGTAGTCCACAGAATCAATATGAAATCTAGTTCCTACTGCTATAAGTTGCCAGTTAATGGAGAAAACATACAGCCCTTTTTTTATTGTAGGATAGCTAGGTAAGACGGGGGTGGGGGAGACTCGCTGGACTGCCATCCAATGTATACATCCTGAGAAACAAATCCCACGGAAATTCGCAGGAGTGTTTCTGAGTAAGTACCTTTGGAACTTGGAAATAAGAACACTATATAGTTTGATTTCCGCTTAACATTTGGAAAAACAAATGTGCCGTTAACACACTCACAAAAGCACCTCTGTGCCTTGGGTTGGAATCACATTTTGGTGTTCCATGTTAAAGGAGAAATCGAAATAATGTTTTGCCAGCATTATGTCTTAACTATATGTGTGATAATAAGATAAACAAATGTACATGGTCACTGATGATTGATGTCAGCTTCTTAGACCTTTTTAGACTGTAGCTCCCAGAATCCCTCAGTCAGTTTGGCCACTGGAAAATCTTCCAAACTCTTCAAAGAGCATGTGCACTCTGCCTACTTTACCAGAGAGAGCCCCTATGTTCTCATACTTGTTTGTAGCAAATCACTACCTGACTTTGCACAAGTTTTCTTTTTCTTTTGAGGATGCTTTTTTTAAATTAAGCAATTGAATCTTTCCTCTATTGTATGTGCTCCACACGTGCTTATAAATGCTAAGGCACAACTTTCCACCTCTGCATACTACAATAGCTGAAGCAGTTATACCTTTAATATTATTGGGCAGTTATACTTTTCCTAACACATGTTTTAAATTAAAGAACAAATAGTATATGGATTTTTAAGGGTATAAATACTAGTAACACACTCACCCAAGCTTGGTGGAACGTATTTCTGAGTAGATGTGCAAATGTCTGTACTTAGGTCACAAGCCTAAACACACTTTGCAGTTTTGGAGTAGACATAAAACTGTTCTGTTATCCTGGCTCCAGACCTGAAATACCCTGGCATTAATAATAGAACATACATTAATTTGTCTGATGAAGGAACTCTTGCTTATTGAAAAAGATTCTGGGATACATTCTGCCTGGGATGTTATAAAGTTAAGTGATCTGGCTACTGAGCCTCACTTAAGCTTTTTGAACCTCATGGTCCCTCCATGTGAACTGGGACCGCATATGTGACATAATATACCTGTACACAATATAGAAGAACACTGGTTCTGATAGGAAAGATACTTCAAAGGAACTTCTTTGTTATTGTTGATCCACAAGATCACTTTCTGGCAAGTTTCCAAGAAATCTGAGAGCGACTTAGAAGGAACTCCATTTTTAGTTTCACCCTCATTTACTAAGGACAGGTTGCTGGAAGTGCAAAACATGGGTTCAGAAAACTCCCTCCGCTATATCGCTGTGAGAAGTCTTGATCATGTCACCCCTTTCTTTGCTTCAGTTCCTGTTTGTTAAATAAGAATAAAAAAGCCTATAGGACAAATCTTGTGGTGGTGTGCAGATGAAAAGACCAATTTTAATGCACTGAAGAAATATCCGTAATAAATCCAGTAGTCTAGAATCCAATAAATTTTTTAAAAAGGAACATTCATAAGGGGACGGGATTAGTTTCTAAGTTTATTCCTCAATTATATATATATATATAATTTTGCTGAACTATACATGTATAGTTCAGCAAAATTACACACATGTGCGCGCGCGCGCGCACACACACACACACACACACACACACACACACACACTTTCCCTTTTTAATCTATTCAGATATTCTCCTGCTATGCCACTTTAATAGATACATGACCAATTTTGTCAACATTTCTGCGGGATGAGAGGAGTAGAAATGTGTGAAACTGATATTTACTACTTGAGTATAATCTTCCAATACCAGCTTTTGTACCAGTTGTAGGAACTTTGCTAGTACTTACAAAGCCTTAAACCCCTAGGGATAAATTGTAAGATTTACAATCTAGGCTAAATTGCCACATGCATAAAGGGTACAAATCTTATATGTACAAAATTACTGTATATATTACTGAGCTATAGGAAAATATAGAATCAAGAAGTTTCCAAAACGGGTTATCAGCCAGATTCTCTGTGTGTATCATTTTCTCATGTACACATTCATCCCCCTGATATAGAATAAGTAGTGTTGGTGGGGTTTATGAACTATATCTTGAAGTTGATCCCAAGAATCTTGGGATTGTGTGTATCCATTATTAAATTTTGTGTACTTTTCTGTTACATTTTTTATTTAGGAAACGATAGCATTTGATTGCAAGTATTTTCTTGTAAACTAACTATTGAGGTCAGTGAAACCTAATGTCTATGTAAATCTGTGTAAGGCTATGGTGTTCATTTACCTGGTCTCTGCTCCATTAAAATTAAACACCTGCTATCATGCATCATATATGGTACCTCCTTATACAGATGGAGGAAAATATTCTGTGCAGATTCTAAACATACAGGTTATACAGAAGAATTGTTCCACAGTAATTTAGTTGAGGGCATTGTTTTATTTTTGAGGAGATTAAACCTGACATTTTTAAAAACACCTTTTTTCTGCTTTAACTGCATTTTCAGTAAACTGCATCTCAGTGAGTGTCCAATTTCATTGACTACAAACCTGAGAGAAGATTTTAGCCTTCCCATGAGGCACAGGCTTGCCTTTTCCTAACTAAGGAAATTGTGGGATGTTAATTAATTTTCAGCTACATATCAATGGTACATGAACCAAGTGATAACAGCTATGCAAAATCTGATGTTTTTACTCAGTAGACACAATTTAAGGAAAATCCTCTCCAAAGCTGTTCTAATTCGTAGCAAGATACATGTAAATGACTACAGATTTGAACAGAAACCTCTGCATAACATGAAAGGATATAAATTATGGTGTCTGTTTAAGCAATATAGACCCCACTCCATTACACAAAAATTGGCTCGTTCACATCAACATTAAGCTGACATAGCTGTAGTTACCACTCAGAACAGTGGTGGTAATCTCACAAAACATTATACAGAAGGCCACAATGATTTCAACATGTCACTTGGGACAGAGCATGACTTTCTTGAGATGGAGAAATAGTATTGAGAAATTGAAACGCAAGCATTTGGGGAAACTCATTCCCCCCAAATATTTTAGTCAACAATGAAAAGCTCTTCTGATTCCCCACAAAATTGTCGCCGAGCCCAAAAACATAAAACACAAATGAGATGTTTTGCTACAAAACCACTCACATTTCCCTGTATCTCTTACACGTTTTATTGCCAAAAGGTCTCCTGTAAATATGGATAGACTTAGCAATTTAAGCACCAGCATATTAGCTGTCTCAATCGCTTTGCTAACCTCTATCGAATTTTTCTTGCCTGCGCCAACTGAGATATTACAGCTTCGTTTGGTTAATGCTGCAGTATAAACATTGCAGGCTTTGCGTGTCACACATCTCACTCTTGAACAACTGTGTCCGCATTCTGTTGCGTCTTGCTAATCAGTATATTATGCATCTCCCATTATACTACAAAACATCACTAAGGCCAATATAATAGAGATAACGTCTCCATATGAATGGTACAGATTTTGCCCTTTGAGATATTTCTCTGATCACATTTTTCCCTCGGTTTTGGCTGCGCATGCAGCCTGAGCTAGAATTTATCATACATTTGGGAAAAGAATGCAGAAAAGCAATGTGATACAATAACACAGCGATACAATACAGCAAGGATAGCAAACCAACCTTTTTCTGCCCCCGATTGCTGCTTCTGGAGACCGCATCCACCACTCTTCCCCACCGAGGTTTCTGGAATCTGATATGAGCTGGGCTGGAATTTCTTAAAAAATGAAACCCTCTTTGCTGGGAGTTTATGAGGAAGTTTGGCGAGTTTTACAAGCCCTTGGGTAAATGGCAGACAGTTGCCCCGTGGAGCTATCTTGGATCCACTGATGGGGAAGGGGAACTGGAGCTTCCAGTGATCTGTGGAAGCATTAATGAACTGTGTAAGTTTGGATAGTCAGGTTTCTCACCCAGTCCTGGGAACCATGAGCCACTGGTAGGGAAAGAGCTTTCCAGAACTCTGGGGCTTTGATGTGCAGTTCCTGCATTCCCAAATGGCACTGGCCTGAGCGAATGGGCTTTTGACAGTGATGAACAGTGTGTCAAGTAGAGGGGGCAAACATGCTGACAAGACAGATGCCCAAACACATCCAGACAGGTGGGTAAGCGGAGCAAGAAAAAGGGACAGGGAGAGAGGAGGCTGAACACAAATGGGACCATACACAAACCACAAAAGAGACACAATGTGCACCAACTACACAAATGTACCAAGAGGAACAGGATGCAAAGGGGGTAAATTTGTCCCATACACATATGCAAAAAGAAGAAGGGTTTTCTCTGTATTTGTGTTCAGGATTTGGTTCCATTTGATTTTTAAGCCTTGGGGTAGGCTTGAGCAGAATCAAGCCTCCTCCTCCACCTTCAAAAAAAAAAAAAAAGGAGAAACATTTAAATGCTGGAAATGAGCCGTGCTTTCATGAACATATTTTCTTGTGATTACTGACCACTGTACTGGCGCTAATGATCAGAAGGACATTTGATGGAGACTGGGAGCCAAAGGGAAGAGGAATTAGGTATCTGAAGGCTGTTCTTTCAATGTGCTTTCTGGGTACCAAGCTCTGGATAGTTCTTCCCTTAAGGCCCTTGTGGTGCTGCTATTAAATAACGGTCAATTTGTGTTTAAAACAGCGATTGTATACAATATGGCTGCAGATGAAGCCAGCCTTCCTTGTTTCACAGAGAGCCTGGTGTGTGTGTGTCAGGGGGGGATGTGTTTTAAGTTAGCATAGATCAGTATTTCCCAAGCTGGGGATTATGACTCCCAAGTGGATTGCAAAGTGTTTTCTGGGGGGTTACGGGTCGCCTTATAGGTGTTGTAGCCCTTGCTAAATAATTTATTCCTCGACCTTTCAGAGTGGAAAATTAAAGTTAGTGTGTAGTGTATGTCTAAGAAACAGATGCTTTGGGGGAGAAAGAAACCTCTACTTTGTAAGAAGGATTGACTTTTAAAAAAGCATATGGTGGGGTATGTGTGCCCCATGTTATTTGTTTATTTATTTATTTATTTATTTATTTAATTTATTTGTTACATTTATAGCCCACCCATCTAGTCGTACCGACTACTCGGTACTTGGCTATTATAAAGGGGGGGGGATTTGAGGTGCAACTTCAAAAAAGGTTGGGAAACACTGGCATAGATATATTATGCTACAACCATACTGAGCAGGAAAATTCACCATTCTGGCAATTATTTTCCCTCAGAAACTAAGCTCTTACAACTTATAGTCCACCCAGAAGGCAGACAGCTCATCATGGCAGAGCTGGCCCTACTATTAGGCAAAATGAAGAACCTGCCTGAAGTAGCAAATTGTTGGTGTCATAGATGGTCAATAAATCCTTCATCACTCTTGTTGTGTTTTTGCTGCCAGGTAGTGAGGAGAAATGCATGTAGAATTTTCTGCCTTGTGTGCCCAAAAAACTTGGCTGACTTTTGGTTGTATGAATGTTGATATGGAGAAAAGTGTTGCTTAGGCAACAAAACTAGCTCTGTGTGAAGGGCTTTCAAAAGTTTTGCCTTTAATAAAGCTAAAATAAATACTCATGTTTCTTACTCAGTCCATCAGGCCCGTTCTTTGGTCTCTGCTATAAGAAGGTCTAATTGAAATGTGTTTCTTTTTAAGGAGTGCATACAAGGTTGCTAATGGCCACAAACAAGCTTTTATCTTGACTAATGAACAGGTGGTGCTTTAAGGCTCATTCACACAACCTTACACTCAAGACAAAGAGCTTGGTTCTAAGGAATAGACTGTGCATCGACCCACATAGCATGACATTTAGCATAGCAACAACTTCTGTGGTGTGAAAACTCTAGTATGTTTTCACCGCAACACTGCCCAAGCACTCACAGATGAATTCATGTATAAATTAGCCTGGAGCAGGGCTTGTTTGTTTGTTTGTTTAAAACATCATTTATTTAAAAATACAACTACTGTACTGAAATCTTCTTGCCAACATGGTGAGTGGCCATGCCAGCTGGCAGGTTCTGGATGCTGTAGTGGAAAAATTAATGTTTTTAATTTTTGGTTTGGAAAAGAGCATTTGATTGTAACCACTTGCCCCAGAGATGATGACTACCACAGTTTTAAAAGGTAGTGTAGTGCAGCAGCCCATGCAGAGATGCTCCTTTCCCCTTGTCCAAATACTGTACTGTATACTGTACTAAAAAATTAATCTGCTGCCCAATCTTAGGTAAGAACTTATCAGTTCTCATGCTTAGACAGATGTACATATTTAGCCATGCCAAACCTATAAGTGAACCAAACTCATCTGTGCCTTGAAATCCCCCCCCTTTTTTTTGGTGGGGGAGAATTTAAAAATGGAACTTGCAAGTCAGAAAGCTGACACAAAATTACATCTATTAAGAGAAATATAGTGACCAAAGGAAGTAAAAATAAAAATAGGAGATAAATTCTTGGGGAAAATGCACACACTACAAATATGTGCGTGTGTATTCATATTTATATTCTTGCAGTGTTTTCTACATTAGCAAACTGATGTGAACACATGCCAGAATAAAATTGGAATTTATGAAATGAGAAATTCAGCAACACTTGTACATTCACCCACACCTATTCTGAAGCAAGCTTGAAGCTGCTTTCCTCCCTTTTTATATCTAAATCAGACAGATCCTATTTCAGACTGAAATTACTTCAATTTTTCTTACAGCCAGAGGAAAGTAGAACAAATAATGCTAAATAGAAATCAGTACCAGTTTATCTTTTTAATTTCTTTACTACCGTATTTTTCGCTCCATAAGACGCACAGACTTTCCACACCCCTGTTTTGTGGGAAAAAAGTGAGTCTTATGGTGCAAAAAATACAGTAATTCATAAAACAATTGTCATTATAATTCTTTTATTGTATGTTTCTGAAATTATTGTGAATTGTGTGTATTTTAGCATAACAATAGAATATAAATTAACACAGTAAATATATAATTAAAATACACATGAATTTTGAACTTGTTCATAACAAAGATGTTTCAGCTTAGGTGTGTTACTATACTAGGAGAATATTTGAGAATAATCCAAGCAGAGTTTTCCTTCTAAAAAGTTTAGATTTTAAAAAAAGGCATCTGGAATATTCCTATTACATTTATCAAACCCTCCACCGAACATCTTAAAGAAAACTGTATGACGGTTTCATTACTGGGTTTTGGGGAATATGTAAGTTTATTTGGTTTTATTTAATTAGTTTGATTAAATTTTAATAATCAAACATTTCTAAGCAGTTAGCACAAAACAGTATTTCATATAGGTGAAATTAGTATAGGACAAATATGAAAATATGGGTTCAAAAAACTGAATAGCAATGCAGTATTAAAGCTGCACATCTATACACACTTACCAGTAAGTATGCCGCATAGATCTCAGTGGGATTTCCTGTCATGAACATAACCACAAGGAATAAAGTAAAATCCTACAAGAGAGGATACTCAATATTCTTATTTCTGAGTAAATACACAGAGAATTGTGTTATGAGATACTATTTTTTTCCAAAGATGTCCAAAGATACAATAAGGCCACAAACCAATAATAAAACAATAATAATTAAACAAGAACAGTAACAAAACTATTCAATCAGTTACCCCATTAAGAGAATGGTAAACTGCTTTTGATTATTCTCTACCTGGAAGCCCTG